ACACATGACACACCTGATCCTACAAGTACATATGACACACCCGATCATACAAGAACATATGACACACCTGATCATACAAGTACATATGACACACCTGATCATACAAAAACATATGACACACCTGATCTCATACAAGAACATATGACACACCTGATCATACAAGTACATATGACACACCTGATCATACAAGTACTTATGACACACCTGATCACCCACACAAAACTGTGACACACGTTATCACACACACATACCTGTTACATATCTGATCACACACATACCTGTCACACACATGATCAAACACATACATAACGGTGACATACTCGATCACACACATACCCGATCACACACATACCCGATCACACACATACCCGATCACACACATACCCGATCACACACATACCCGATCACACACATACCCGATCACACACATACCTGTGACACACATGATCAAACACATACATACCGGTGACATACCCGATCACACACATACCCGATCACACACATACCCGATCACACACATACCCGATCACACACATACCCGATCACACACATACCTGTGACACACATGATCAAACACATACATACCGGTGACATACCCGATCACACACATACCTGTGACACACATTATCAAACACATACATAACGGTGACATACCCGATGACACACATGCCTGTCACACACATGATCAAACACATACATAACGGTGACATACCCGATCACACACATACATGTGACACACATGATCAAACACATACATAACGGTGACATACCCGATCACACACATACCTGTGACACACAAGATCAAACACATACATAACGGTGACATACCCGATCACACACATACCTCTTAAATATCTGATTATAAATAATATACCTGTAATACGCCTGACAACATACATACCAATAATACATGAGATCTCACACGTGCCTGTGACCCACCTGACCATACACATACACTTTAAACACCTGACCACACACACATACTTGTGGCACATCTGATGACACACACAATAACGGTGACATGTCAAATCTCACAAACACATGTGACATGCCTGATCTCACACACACACACACACACACATAAATGTGACAAACCTGAGCACACACACACACACACCTGTGGCACACCTAATCAAAAACACATACCCATGACACAATTATTCCCACGCACAGACCTGTGACACAAATGACTACACACACAACTGTGCCACACCTGATCACACAGATAACTGTGACACACTTGATCAAACACACATACATGTGAAAAACCTGATCACACACACACCTAACTGTGACACACCTGATCACACACACACAACTGTAATATACCTAATCACACACACACATACATAAATGATCACAAACACACACATATATTTGACACACCTGATCCCACATATAACTGTGACACACCTGATCACACACACATACACGCACACACATAACTGTGATACACCTGATGACACACATGCTTATGGAACACCTGGTCTTCCATGCATCCCTGTGAGACACTTGGTCACACACACATGCATGTGACACACTTGGTCACACACATTCCTGTAAGACACCTGGTCTCACACATACATGTAAGACACCTGGTCTCACACATATCTGTGAGACACCTAGTCACACAGATGCATGTGAGACACCTGGTCACACACATGCCTATAAGACACCTGGTCTCACACATACCTGTAAGACACCTTGTCTCACACATACATGTAAGACACCTGGTCTCACACATATCTGTGAGACACCTAGTCACACAGATGCATGTGAGACACCTGGTCACACACATGCCTATAAGACACCTGGTCTCACACATACCTGTAAGACACCTGGTCTCACACATACATGTAAGACACCTGGTCTCACACATATCTGTGAGACACCTAGTCACACAGATGCCTGTGGGACACCTGGTCACACACACATGCCTGTGAGACACCTGGTCACATACATGCCTGTGTGTCACCTGATCACACATATCCCTGTGACACACTTGGTCACACACATACCTGTGAGACACCTGGTCCCACACATACCTGTGAGACACCTGGTCACACACACATGCCTGTGTGTCACCTAACACACATAACTGTGACACACTTGGTTACACACATACCTGTGAGACACCTGGCCACACACATACCTGTAAGACACCTGGTCACAGATACACCTATGAATCACCTGGTGTGGCACACATATCTGGAGCACACACACACACACCTATGAATCACCTGGTGTGGCACACATATCTGGGACACACACACACACACACCTATGAATCACCTGGTGTGGTACACATACCTGGGACACACACACACACCTATGAATCACCTGGTGTGGCACACATACCTGGGACACACACACACACACACACCTATGAATCACCTGGTGTGGCACACATACCTGGGACACACACACACACACACCTATGAATCACCTGGTGTGGCACACATACCTGGGACACACACACACACACACACCTATGAATCACCTGGTGTGGCACACATATCTGGGGCACACACACATACACCTATGAATCACCTGGTGTGGCACACATACCTGGGACACACACACACACACACACACCTATGAATCACCTGGTGTGGCACACATATCTGGGGCACACACACATACACCTATGAATCACCTGGTGTGGCACACATACCTGGGACACACACACACGCACCTATGAATCACCTGGTGTGGCACACATACCTGGGAGACACACACATACACCTATGAATCACCTGGTGTGGCACACATATCTGGGGCACACACACACATACACCTATGAATCACCTGGTGTGGCACACATATCTGGAGCACACACACACATACACCTATGAATCACCTGGTGTGGCACACATATCTGGGACACACACACACACACACCTATGAATCACCTGGTGTGGCACACATATCTGGGGCACACACACACACACATACACCTATGAATCACCTGGTGTGGCACACATATCTGGGACACACACACATACACCTATGAATCACCTGGTGTGGCACACATATCTGGGGCACACACACACACACACCTATGAATCACCTGGTGTGGCACACATATCTGGGGCACACACACGCACATACACCTATGAATCACCTGGTGTGGCACACATATCTGGGACACACACACACACATACCTATGAATCACCTGGTGTGGCACACATACCTCGGACACACACACACGCACCTATGAATCACCTGGTGTGGCACACATACCTGGGAGACACACACATACACCTATGAATCACCTGGTGTGACACACATACCTGGGAGACACACACATACACCTATGAATCACCTGGTGTGGCACACATATCTGGGACACACACACACACATACACCTATGAATCACCTGGTGTGGCACACATATCTGGGACACACACACATACACCTATGAATCACCTGGTGTGGCACACATATCTGGGGCACACACACACATACACCTATGAATCACCTGGTGTGGCACACATATCTGGGGCACACACACACATACACCTATGAATCACCTGGTGTGGCACACATATCTGGGACACACACACACACACACACCTATGAATCACCTGGTGTGGCACACATATCTGGGGCACACACACACACAAACATTCACCTATGAATCACCTGGTGTGGCACACATATCTGGGACACACACACACACATACACCTATGAATCACCTGGTGTGTCACACATATCTGGGGCACACACACACACACACCTATGAATCACCTGGTGTGGCACACATATCTGGGGCACACACACGCACATACACCTATGAATCACCTGGTGTGGCACACATATCTGGGACACACACACACACACATACCTATGAATCACCTGGTGTGGCACACATACCTGGGACACACACACACGCACCTATGAATCACCTGGTGTGGCACACATACCTGGGAGACACACGCATACACCTATGAATCACCTGGTGTGGCACACATACCTGGGAGACACACACATACACCTATGAATCACCTGGTGTGGCACACATACCTGGGAGACACACACATACACCTATGAATCACCTGGTGTGGCACACATACCTGGGAGACACGCACACACACCTATGAATCACCTGGTGTGGCACACATACCTGGGAGACACGCACATACACCTATGAATCACCTGGTGTGGCACACATACCTGGGAGACACACACATACACCTATGAATCACCTGGTGTGGCACACATACCTGGGAGACACGCACACACACACCTATGAATCACCTGGTGTGGCACACATACCTGGGAGACACGCACATACACCTATGAATCACCTGGTGTGGCACACATACCTGGGAGACACACACATACACCTATGAATAACCTGGTGTGGCACACATACCTGGGAGACACACACACACCTATGAATCACCTGGTGTGGCACACATACCTGGGAGACACACACACACACACACCTATGAATCACCTGGTGTGGCACACATACCTGGGAGACACACACACACCTATGAATCACCTGGTGTGGCACACATACCTGGGAGACACACACACACACACCTATGAATCACCTGGTGTGGCACACATACCTGGGACACACACACGCACATACACCTATGAATCACCTGGTGTGGCACACATATCTGGGACACACACACACACATACACCTATGAATCACCTGGTGTGGCACACATACCTGGGGCACACACACACACACATACACCTATGAATCACCTGGTGTGGCACACATACCTGGGAGACACGCACACACACCTATGAATCACCTGGTGTGGCACACATATCTGGGGCACACACACGCACATACACCTATGAATCACCTGGTGTGGCACACATATCTGGGGCACACACACGCACATACACCTATGAATCACCTGGTGTGGCACACATACCTGGGACACACACACACACACACACCTATAAATCACCTGGTGTGGCACACATACCTGAGACACACACACACATACCTGGGACACACACACACATACCTGGGAGACGCCCTTGTCGTCCAGGATGACGTCTAGGATCACCTGCCAGGCCTCGTACACACCCGCGGGGACACTGAAGGCCATGGCACACACCCAGAACTGTTTGTTTCTGTAATCACACAACATCACAATATCGCAACATGACAACATTTCAGAATGACAAGATCAAGTACTACAGCATGCCAATACCACGATATCACAATACCACAACATGACAACATCACAATATTACAAAACCTCAACATCACAATATCATCAGGTGACAACATCAAAATATTTTAACATGACAATATCACAGGTTTTTGAATACAGTCTTACGAAGAATCTTTGGACCCATCAAAGATGCAGACAGAGGGGAATGGAGAGTGAGAAACAAAAACGAAATTCATAATCTATTTAAATCGCTATTGATCACTGATATCATGAGAGCTAATAGACTGAAATGATTGGGGCATATTGAAGGAATATAAGATGAGAGAGAAGTGAAAAAATAATAAGCAAGGGAGATAAATGATTGGAGACCACAAGGCAGAACAAGAAGACGATGGAGAGATAATGTCCAATCAGACCTGCAAACACTTGGTGTCACCAACAGGAAAAAGAAGGCCAACCACAGAGATGAATAGAGGCGGCTGATATCTGCACCAATGAACCTCAGGGGCTCGGAATGCTGAAGAAGAAGAATATGACAATATCCCTAAATGCCAACAGACACAAATCATACCATCACAACATGATGGTCACAACTGTTTCTTTCGCTAAGCACCCAGGTTAAGATGTACTGTCAAGTCTATATTTATGAGAGTGTGAGGACGGATGCGAGTGCAAAGATCGATGAGAGTTCGAGGACAGATGAGAGTGCGAGGACAGATGAGAGTTCGAGGACAGATGAGAGTGTGAGAACAGATGAGAGTGCGAGGACAAATTAGAGTGTGAGGACAGATTAGAGTGTGAGGACAGATAAGAGTGCGAGGACTGATGAGAGTGTGAGGACAGATGAGAGTGTGAGGACAAATAAGAGTGCGAGGACAGATGAGAGTGCGAGGACAGATTAGAGTGTGAGGACAGAGGAGAGTGCGAGGACAGATGAGAGGGTGAGGACAAATAAGAGTGCGAGGACAGATAAGAGTGTGAGGACAGATAAGAGTGTGAGGACAGATGAGAGTGCGAGGACAGATGAGAGGGTGGGGACAGAGAGAGTGCGATGACAGATAAGAGTGTGAGGACAGATGAGAGTGCGAGGGCAGATGAGAGTGCGAGGACAGATGAGAGGGTGAGGACAGATGAGTGTGTGAGGACAGATGAGAGTGTGAGGACAGATGAGAGTGTGAAGACAGATAATAGTGCGAGGACAGATGAGAGGGTGAGGACAGATGAGAGCTGTAAGAACAGAGAGAGGACAGATGAGAGTGCGAGGACAGATGAGAGGGTAAGGACAGATGAGAGTGTGAGGAAAGATGAGAGTGCGAAGACAGATGAGAGGGTGAGGAAAGATTAGAGTTGTAAGAACAGAGAGAGGACAGATGAGAGTGCCAGGACAGATAAAAGTCCAAGGACAGATGAGAGTGCGATGACGGATAAGAGTGCGAGGACAGATGAGAGTTCGAGGACAAATGAGAGTGCGAGGACAGATGCGAGTGCAAAGATCGATGAGAGTGCGAGGACAGATGAGAGTGCGAGGACAGATGAGAGGGTGATGGCAGATGAAAGTGTGAGGAACGATAAGAGTGCGAGGACAGATGAGAGGGTGAGGACAGATGAAAGTTGTAAGAACAGAGAGAGGACAGATGAGAGTGCCAGGACACATAGGAGTGCGAGGACAGATGAGAGTGCGATGACGGATAAGAGTGCGAGGACAGGTGACAGTTCGAGGACGAATGAGAGTGCGAGGACAGATGCGAGTGCAAAGAACGATGAGAGTGCGAGGACAGATGAGAGTGCGAGGACAGATGAGAGGGTGAGGACAGATGAGAGTGCAAAGATCGATGAGAGTGCGAGGACAATTGAGAGTTCGAGGACAGATGAGAGGGTGAGGACAGATGAGAGTGCCAGGACAGATAAAAGTGCGAGGACAGATGAGAGTGCGAGGACAGATGAGAGTGCGAGGACAGATGAGAGTGCGAGGACAGATGAGAGTGCGAGGAAGATGAGAGTGCGAGGACAGATGAGAGTGCGAGGACAGATGAGAGTGCGTGGACACATGAGAGGGTAAGGACAGATGCGAGTGCAAAGATCGATGAGAGTGCGAGGACAGATGAGAGTTCGAGGACAGATGAGAGGGTGAGGACAGATGAGAGTTGTAAGAACAGAGAGAGGACAGATGAGAGTGCGAGGACAGATAAGAGTGCGAGGACAGATGAGAGTGCAAGGACAGATGAGAGTTTGAGGACAGATAAGAGTGCGAGGACAGATGAGAGTGCGAGGACAGATCAGAATGCGAGGACAGATCAGAGGGCGAGGACAGATAAGAGTGCGAGGACAGATCAGAGTGCGAGGACAGATAAGAGTGCGAGGACAGATCAGAGTGCGAGGACAGATGAGAGTGCGAGGACAGATCAGAGTGCGAGGACAGATCAGAATGCGAGGACAGATCAGAGGGTGAGGACAGATAAGAGTGCGAGGACAGATCAGAGTGCGAGGACAGATAAGAGTGCGAGGACAGATCAGAGTGCGAGGACAGATGAGAGTGCGAGGACAGATCAGAGTGCGATGACAGATGAGAGTGCGAACACAGATCAGAGTGCGAGGACAGATAAGAGTGCGAGGACAGATCAGAGTGCGAGGACAGATGGGAGTGACTGGGCATTTATGAGAATGTAAGAACTGATAAGAGTGCGAGGACAGATGAGAGTGCTAGGACAGATGAGAGTGCGAGGACAGAAGAGATTTACCGAACAAGCATCTTCAGTCCAGGGATGTACTTCTCTCGGGGCATGGAGGCTGAAACACTCGGGGGCAGAGGAGGCTTGGAGGGGAAGTAGATGAGCACTAGCAGCAACAGTAGGCCAGCCACAGCAAATTCTGAAATCAACAATCAGCAACTGCCTCTTTAATCATCCATCAGTAACTTTCACTGGAATCAACAGCAACAACAAAAAAACAAAAAAAAAAAAAAAAAACAGTCAACAAACGTCACAGTAATCATCATTCAACAATCAACATCTCTCACTAGAATCATCAATAAACATTCTTCATAACAATTAGCAATCAACATCTCTCACTGGAATCATCAATAAACATTCTTCATAACAATTAGAAATCAACATCTCTCACTAGAATCAACAATCGACAATCAGCAGTTCTCTCTGGAATCAATGAACGACTATCACAAGCGTCAATAATCAGCTACCAACATGACTACCATCACCACCACCATCATGACTACCATCACCACCACCAACATGACTACCATCACCACCACCAACATGACTGCAATCACCACCACCAACATAACTGCAATCACCACCACCTACATGAATATCATCACCACCACCAACATGACTACCATCACCACCACCAACATGACTACCATCACCACCACCATCATGACTAACATCACCACTACCAACATGACTGCAATCACCACCACCAACATGACTACCATCACCACCACCAACATGACTACCATCACCACCACCAACATGACTACCAACACCACCACCAAAATGACTACCATCACCACCACCAGCATGACTACCATCACCACCACCAACATGACTACCATCACCACCACCAACATTACTACCATCAACACCACCATCATGACTACCATCACCACTACCAACATGACTGCAATCACCACCACCAACATGACTACCATCACCACCACCAACATGACTACCATCACCACTACCAACATGACTGCAATAACCACCACCAACATGACTACCATCAACACCACCAACATGACTGCAATCACCACCACCAACATTACTGCAATCACCACCACCAACATGACTACCATCACCACCACCAACATGACTACCATCACCACCACCAACATGACTGCAATCATCACCACCAACATGACTGCAATCACCACCACCAACATGACTACCATCACCACCACCAACATGACTACCATCACCACCACCAACATGACTGCAATCACCACCACCAACATGACTACCATCACCACCACCAACATGACTGCAATCACCACCACCAACATGACTGCAATCACCACCACCAACATGACTACCATCACCACCACCAACATGACTGCAATCACCACCACCAACAAGACTACCATCACCACCACCAACATGACTACCATCACCACCACCAACATGAATGCAATCACCACCACCAACATGACTACCATCACCACCACCAACATGACTACCATCACCACCACCAACATGACTGCAATCACCACCACCAACATGACTGCAATTACCACCACCAACATAACTACCATCACCATCACCAACATGACTGCAATAACCACCACCAACACGACTGCAATAACCACCGGAAACATGATTACCATCACCACCACCAACATGACTATCATCACCACCACCAACATGACTATCATCACCACCACCAACATGACTATCATCACCACCACCAACATGACTGCAATAACCACCACCAACATGACTATCATCACCACCACCAACATTACTGCAATCACCACCACCAACATGACTACCATCACCACCACCAACCTGACTATCATCACCACCACCAACATGACTATCATCACCACCACCAATATGACTGCAATAACCACCACCAACATGACTACCATCACCACCACCGACATGACTGCAATAACCACCACCAACATGACTATCATCACCACCACCAACATTACTGCAATCGCCACCACCTACATGACTGCCATCACCACCACCTACATGACTATCATCACCACCACCAACATGACTATCATCACCACCACCAACATGACTGCAATCGCCACCACCAACATGACTATCATCACCACCACCAACATGACTATCATCACTACCACTACATGACTATCATCACCACCACCAACATGACTATCATCACCACCACCAACATGACTGCAATAACCACCACCAATATGACTATTATCACCACCACCAACATGACTATCATCACCACCACCAACATTGCTGCAATCACCACCACCAACATGACTACCATCACCACCACCAACATGACTGCAATCACCACCACCAACATGACTACCATCACCACCACCAACATGACTATCATCACCACCACCAACATGACTGCAATGACCACCACCAACATGACTACCATCACCAAAATAAACATGACTACCATCACTACCACCAAGATGACTGCAATAACCAACACCAATATTACTGCAATCACCACCACCAACATGACTGCAATCACCACCACCAACATGACTGCAATCACCACCACCAACATGACTACCATCGCCACCACCAACATGACTATCATCACCACCACCAACATGACTGCAATCACCACCACCAACATGACTATCATCACCACCACCAACATGACTATCATCACCACCACCTACATGACTATCATCACCCCCACCAACATGACTATCATCACCACCACCAACATGACTATCATCACCACCACCAACATGACTGCAATAACTACCACCAACATGACTATCATCACCACCACCAAAATTACTGCAATCACCACCACCAACATGACTACCATCACCACCACCAACATGACTACCATCACCACCACCAACATGACTATCATCACCACCACCAACATGACTATCATCACCACCACCAACATGACTATCATCACCACCACCAACATGACTGCAATAACCACCACCAACATGACTATCATCACCACCACCAACATTACTGCAATCACCACCACCAACATGACTACCATCCCCACCACCAACATGACTATCATCACCACCACCAACATTACTGCCATCACCACCACCTACATGACTATCATCACCACCTCCAACATGACTATCATCACCACCACCAACATGACTATCATCACCACCACCAACATGACTGCAATCGCCACCACCAACATGACTATCATCACCACCATCTACATGACTATTATCACCACCACCAACATGACTACCATCACCACCACCAACATGACTACCATCACCACCACCAACATGACTATCGTCACCACCACCAACATGACTATCATCACCACCACCAACATGACTATCATCACCGCCACCAACATTACTGCAATCACCACCACCAACATGACTGCAATCACCACCACCAGCATGACTACCATCACCACCACCAACATGACTACCATCACCACCACCAACATGACTACCATCACCACCACCACCAACATGACTACCATCACCACCACCAACATGACTACCATCACCACCACCAACATGACTGCCATCACCACCACCAACATGACTATCATCACCACCACCTACATGACTATCATCACCACCACCAACATGACTATCATCACCACCACCAACATGACTATCATCACCACCACCAACATGACTATCATCACCACCACCAACATGATGGCAATAACCACCACCAATATGACTGCAATAACCACCACCAACGTGACTATCATCACCACCACCAACATGACTGCAATAACCACCACCAACATGACTATCATCACCACCACCAACATGACTGCAATCGCCACCACCTACATGACTACCATCACCATCACTACCATCACTATCGCAACAACAGATATCTACACTATCAATTTGATTATCTTCGCTTCCTCCTCCTTCGTCTTTTCTTGTGCTTTTTGCCCTCCTTCCTTGTTCCACACACAACTGACAACCAAGTGGTTGAAAAATAATTCCACTTTGAGAGACTAGGATTTGACCCCAAGACCACAGAGTTGGTGTAGTGTGTTAACTACTGCACCAGATATGGTGTAGTTGAGACTCACCTGCATACAAGATGTGCATGATCCCCTCTTTCTGGGCGTTGTAGGCTGAGGACAGCAGAGACCAGTGGTAAGTGATGGGAAACTTGGATTTGGGAGTGATCCATTGTAACCTACACTTATATAACATATAATGTACTCTTATATAATGTACACTTACATAACGTACACTTATATAGCATACACTTATATAACATACTCTTATATAATGTACACTTACATAATGTAGACTTGCATAACGTACACTTACATAATGTACACTTACATAATGTACACTTACATAATGTACACTTACATAACGTACACTTACATAATGTACATTTACATAACGTACACTTACATAATGTACACTTACATAATGTACACTTACATAATGTACACTTACATAATGTACATAACGACACTTACATAATGTACATAATAATGTACACTTACATAATTTGTACACTTGTACACTTACATAATGTACACTTACATAATGTAGACTTACATAACGTACACTTACATAATGTACACTTACATAATGTACACTTTCATAACGTACACTTACATAATGTACACTTACATAATGTACACTTACATACTGTAGACTTGCATAACGTACACTTACATAATGTACACTTACATAATGTACACTTACATAATGTACACTTACATAACGTACACTTACATAATGTAGACTTGCACACTAATAACGTACTACTTACATAATAACGTATACACTTTCCCCCCCCCCGCATAACGTACCACTTATACAACATACACTTATATAATGTACACTTGCATAACGTACACTCATAAAATGTACACTTACATAACATACACTTATAAAACATACACTTACATAACATACACTTATATAACATACACTTATATAACATACACTTATATAACATACACTTATATAACATACACTTATTTATATAACATACACTTTTATAACGTACACTTATATAACATACACTTATATAACATACACTTTTATAACGTACACTTATATAACGTACACTTTTATGACGTACACTTATATAACATACACTTTTATAACATACACTTATATAACATACACTTATATAACATACACTTATATAACATACACTTATATAACGTACACTTTTATAACGTACTCTTTTATAACATACACTTTTATAACGTACACTTTTATAACATACACTTTTATAACGTACACTTTTATAACGTACACTTTTATAACGTACACTTATATAATGTACACTTTTATAACATACACTTTAATAACGTACACTTTTATAACGTACACTTTTAAAACATACACTTTTATAACGTACACTTTTATAACGGACACTTTTATTACGTACACTTTTATAACGTACACTTTTATAATGTACACTTTTATAATGTACACTTTTATAACATACACTTTTATAACATACTCTTTTATAACGTACACTTTTATAACGTACACTTATATAACATACACTTTTATAACGTACACTTTTATAACATACACTTTTATAACATACACTTATATAACATACACTTTTATAACATACACTTTTATAACGTACACTTTTATAACGTACATTTATATAAGGTACACCTAGATAATGTACACTTACATAATGTACACTTATAAAATATACATTTATATAACATACACTTATATAAGGTACATTTACATAACGTACACTGACATAACGTACACTTATATTCATTCATTCAGTAGCATGTCCCTCGCGGAACCTCGCTGCCATAACAACCCTCCGGAAAACCTTCCTATCCTGAGCAAGATGTCCTGCGTCTGATACACCCATCTGGAGATCATCTGCCACATCCTTCACCCATCTTCTCCTTGGCCTTCCTCTTCCTCTCTTCCCAGGCATATACCCCTCCATTATTGTTCTCTCTAGACTTCCATGACGTTTCAAGTGACCAAAATATTCCAATTTTCTTTGTTTTATTGTCTTTACTAGCCAACCCTCTTCAATATTCAGCTCTTGAAGTATGGATGCATTTGTTCTTTTCTTTACCCAAGATATTCTTAGAACCTGTCTGTAACATTTATATTCAAATGCATTTATGCGCTGTTCCGCTTGTTTAGTAAGTGTCCAGGTCTCACAGGCATGATTGTTATGGATTCTTGGCAAAATTTGCAGAAGGTAGTTTGCCGTTGCTTTCCTCCTGAGCAGTGACTATACTAGTCGGTGGCCATAGCCATTGTCTCTACTGATGAGATCATCTGCCTATCGCCGCAGAGTGCAGACCATAACCAACAATACCTGTCGGCTGCTCTTACACTCCATCCACCACCTGCTTCCATGGCTTTACGTAACCCTGGTTGGGGGGCTAAAAAGGTACTCCACCTTGCCCAAGGGTGTCCCGTAGACTAGCGGAGGAAAGGAGGCGTCTTACTTCTCCTTTGATAGGGGATACCCCTACCCCGCTAACCGTAACGTACACTTATATAACATACACTTATTTGTAGCAATAAGAGTGAGGCAATGGACTGTAGCATTTAACTGTTTGTAATAATTAAAGTAAGGCAAATAGACTGTAACATTTAACTATTTGTAACAATCAAATTGAGGCAATGGACTGCAACATTCATCTATTTGTAACAATTTTAGCGAGGTGACAGAACCTTATATCTCCCTCAACACCCACAGCGGTAAAGGAGGAAGTGAAGAAGAAGAAAAAGAAGATGGACTGCAACATGTGAAATATTTGTAACAATTTTAGCGAGGTGATGGACTGCAACATTCTACTATTTGTAACAATTTTAGCTGATGATGGACTGCAACATTCAACCATTTGTAACAATCAAAGTGAGGCAATAGACTGCAATATTCAAATGTTTGTAACAATTTTATCTAGGTAATGGAGCGCAACATTCAACTATTTGTAAACATTTTAGCAAGGTGATGGACTGTAAGCTTCAACTATTTGTAAAAATTTTAGCGAGATGGTTTGACTGCAACATTCAACCATTTGTAACAATCATAGTGAAGCAATGGACTGCGACATTTAACTATTTGTAGCAATTCTAGCAAGGTGATGGACTGCAACATTCAACTGTTTGTAACAATTTTAGCGAGGTGATGAACTGTAGCATATGAAATATTTGTAACAATTTTAGCGAGATGATGGACTGTAACATTCAACTACTTGTAACAATCTGAGTGAGGCAATGGACTGCACCATTCAATTATTTCTAACAATGTTAGCCAGGCAATGGACACATTTGGAAAATCCTAGCGAGGTGACGAAGTAAAATGCAGTAAAATAATGAATTGTTACATACGCACTTGTGTAACAACAATGTAAGTTTACACTTACTTGTAACATTGGTCATGTTGCCGATGTCGAAGACGTCGAGGTCAACACTGAAATGTAAATACAACAATGTTCATCTTTTGCTCGCATCTTATGTGTGTTCACATCTATCCTCATTGTGAGCAACAATTATCATCTTTTGCTCGCATCTTGTGTGTGTTCACATCTATCCTCATTGTAAGCAACAATTATCATCTTTTGCTCGCATCTTGTGTGTGTTCACATCTATCCTCATTGTGAGCAACAATTTTCATCTTTTGCTCGCATCTTGTGTGTGTTCACATCTATCCTCATTGTAAGCAACAATGTTCATCTTTTGCTCGCATCTTGTGTGTGTTCACATCTATCCTCATTGTAAGCAACAATGTTCATCTTTTGATCGCATCTTGTGTGTGTTAACAAACATCCTCATTGTGAGCAACAATGTTCATCTTTTGCTCGCATCTTGTGTGTGTTCACATCTATCCTCATTGTAAGCAACAATGTTCATCTTTTGCTCGCATCTTGTGTGTGTTAACAAACATCCTCATTGTGAGCAACAATGTTCATCTTTTGCTCGCATCTTGTGTGTGTTCACATCTATCCTCATTGTGAGCAACAATTTTCATCTTTTGCTCGCATCTTGTGTGTGTTCACAAACATCCTCATTGTGAGCAACAATGTTCATCTTTTGCTCGCATCTTGTGTGTGTTAACAAACATCCTCATTGTGAGCAACAATGTTCATCTTTTGCTCGCATCTTGTGTGTGTTCACATCTATCCTCATTGTGAGCAACAATTTTCATCTTTTGCTCGCATCTTGTGTGTGTTCACAAACATCCTCATTGTGAGCAACAATGTTCATCTTTTGCTCGCATCTTGTGTGTGTTCACAAACATCCTCATTGTGAGCAACAATTTTCATCTTTTGCTCGCATCTTGTGTGTGTTCACTAACATCCTCATTGTGAGCAACAATGTTCATCTTTTGCTCGCATCTTGTGTGTGTTCACAAACATCCTCATTATGAGCAACAATTTTCATCTTTTGCTCGCATCTTGTGTGTGTTCACAAACATCCTCATTGTGAGCAACAATGTTCATCTTTTGCTCGCATCTTGTGTGTGTTCACAAACATCCTCATTGTGAGCAACAATGTTCATCTTTTGCTCGCATCTTGTGTGTGTTCACAAACATCCTCATTGTGAGCAACAATGTTCATCTTTTGCTCGCATCTTGTGTGTGTTCACATCTATCCTCATTGTAAGCAACAATGTTCATCTTTTGCTCGCATCTTGTGTGTGTTCACAAACATCCTCATTGTAAGCAGGCATTCTCATGCTCTTCCTTCTCCACCACATGTTTCCTTCTAATCATCTTTTCCCACCTGTCTCATCTCTCTCCTCCTCCTCCACTTCCTCTTTCGTCACCTGTCTCATCCCTCTTCTCCTCCTCCACTTCCTCTTTCGTCACCTGTCTCATCTCTCTCCTCCTCCACTTCCTCTTTCGCCACCTGTCTAATCATCGCCGCCCTCCTCTTTCCATTGTTCTGGCCTGTCTTCCAGTCTTTACACAACAATATCCGTGTTTATTAACTGTGGTATCTAAAATTCAGGGCAGATTACAGGGGAGATTCCAGGACGTATTCAAGGGGAGATTCCATGACATATTCCAGGGGAGAATTCGTTTTTGAGGAGAATGGATGTATTGTGCTGAAATGCGCACACATCGCAGCCTAGCTGTAAACCTCGTACGAACCACCTTTTAAATGGTAAACATAGAAACGTATTTTAAATACACATGAATCAGGTTTCACGCAAATAAAGCTCACACACATAGCTCAAACACTTATAGCTCACACACTCATAGCTCACACACTTATAGCTCACACACTTATAGCTCACACACGTATAGCTCACACACTTATAGCTCACACACTTATAGCTCACACACTTATAGCTCACACACTTATAGCTCACACACTTATAGCTCAAACACTTATAGCTCACACACATATAGCTCACACACTTATAGCTCACACACATAGCTCACACACTTATAGCTCACACACTTATAGCTCACAAACTTATAGCTCACACACTTATAGCTCACACACGTATAGGTCACACACTTATAGCTCACACACTTATAGCTCACACAGTTATAGCTCACACACTTATAGCTCACACACTTATAGCTCACACACTTATAGCTCACACACATAGCTCAAACACTTATAGCTCACACACTTATAGCTCACACACTTATAGCTCACACACTTATAGCTCACACACTTATAGCTCACACACTTATAGCTCACACACGTATAGCTCACACACTTATAGCTCACACACTTATAGCTCACACACTTATAGCTCACACACATAGCTCAAACACTTATAGCTCACACACTTATAGCTCACACACTTATAGCTCACACACTTATAGCTCACACACTTATAGCTCACACACTTATAGCTCACACACTTATAGCTCACACACATAGCTCAAACACTTATAGCTCACACACTTATAGCTCACACACTTATAGCTCACACACTTATAGCTCACACAGTTATAGCTCACACACATAGCTCAAACACTTATAGCTCACACACTTATAGCTCACACACGTATAGCTCACACACGTATAGCTCACACACTTATAGCTCACACACGTATAGCTCACACACGTATAGCTCACACACTTATAGCTCACACACTTATAGCTCACACACGTATAGCTCACACAGTTATAGCTCACACAGTTATAGCTCAAACACTTATAGTTCACACAGTTATAGCTCACACAGTTATAGCTCATAGAAATATAATTCGTGGATAATTAATTAAAAATACTTTTAGAAAATTAAATCTAATAAATTCCGTTGTTTTACACTCGACCAGGTTCAGGGTGCTGTTAGCTATCGTAAATTATAAAATTATGTCAGTTTTACTCTCGTACTATTTACACAGATACAATTGACACACATACGCAGACATACATACAGACAGACACACATACAAACATACGCAGACACACACAGACATACACACACATACACACAGATACACAGACACACACAAAGACATACTCAGACAGACACACATACATACAAAGACACACACACACAGACACACATACAGACACACACATATATACACACATACATACACAGACACACACTGACAATTACACAGATACACACACAGATACACACACAGACACAGGCGCGCGCGCACATACCTGAGAAGATCGTCCGTGTTGTTGACTGGCAGCAGGTCGTTAGGTTGTGGCACCAGCAGCGGCCCTGTACACAATCACAGGCAACATCATCATCATCTTCTTACATTTGGTGTGTCTGTGTCTGTGTGTATGTGTCTGTGAATGTGTCTGTGTGTGTGTCTGTGTGTCTGTGTGTGTATCGGTGTGTATGTGTCCGTATGTGTGTATGTACTTAGGGACAACGTTAGAGAAAAAAAAATATTCTCTACATATCAGAAAATATCAGAAACAGACAACGAAGAAGACAATGAGACACAAGTCAACAACAGCATGGACAGACACTGGGAAATACGCAACACACACACACATACAATGTCAATACACATCATAGATAGATACACACATAGAGACATACACATACACACACAATGTCAATACACATCATAGACAGATACACACATAGAGACACACACATCAGGGAGTACACAATACTGACACATACACTCACACACACATACACACACAATGTCAATGCACATCATAGACAGATACACACATAGAGACATACACATCAGGGAGTACACAATACTGACACATACACTCACACACACATACACACACAATGTCAATACACATCATAGATAGATACACACATAGAGACATACACATCAGGGAGTACACAATACTGACACATACACTCACACACACATAATGTGAACACACAACATAGATAGACACACACACACACACACTGGGGATTACACAACATTGACAAGCACACACAATGTCAATACACAACATAGATATATATACACACAGAGACACACACATTAGGGAGTACACAATATTGACACATACACTCACACACACACACTGGGGAATACAAAACTTAGACACACACACACTGGGGAATTCACCACACAGATACACTGGGGAATATACAATAAAGACACGCACACTAAGGATACACAACACAGACACGCACACTGGGTGATGCAATAATATTGACACAATCTTATACACAAACATTCAAACACACACATTGGGGGATCGAACATCCACAAAAAGACTAGGAACTACAAAACATAGGCATGCACGCGCGCACACACGTGCACAAACATACTCACACACAAACATACACAAACATACACACACAGAGAAATACCTTACATCCACAAACACAATGGGGAATACCCACCATGGACCCACACACACAAACTGGGAAGCTAAACATCCACAAACACAATATGGCATACCCAACATGGAGACACAAACACTGGGGAATACACAACATGGACCCACACACACAAACTGGGAAGCTAAACATCCACAAACACAATGGGGAATACCCAACATGGAGACACAAACACTGGGGAATACACAACATGGACCCACACACACAAACTGGGAAGCTAAACATCCACAAACACAATGGGGAATACCCAACATCGACACACAAACACTGGGGAATACACCACATGAGCACACACGCTAAATGGATAACCAACAGACACACACACACACACGCACACACACAGGGAAATACACTACATGGAAACACATACATGCAGGGGAATACACAACATGAAACACACACATACAGGGGAATACACAACATGAAACACACACATACAGGGGCATACACAAAATGAAACACATACATACAGGGGCATACACAACATGAAACACATACATACAGGGGCATACACAACATGAAACACACACATACAGGGGAATACACAACATGAAACACACACATACAGGGGCATACACAACATGAAACACACACATACAGGGGCATACACAACATGAAACACACACATACAGGGGCATACACAACATGAAACACATACATACAGGGGCATACACTACATGGAAACACATACATACAGGGGAATACACAACATGAAACACACACATACAGGGGCATACACAACATGAAACACACACATACAGGGGCATACACAACATGAAACACACACATACAGGGGCATACACAACATGAAACACACACATACAGGGGCATACACTACATGGAAACACATACATACAGGGGCATACACAACATGAAACACACACATACAGGGGAATACACAACATGAAACACACACATACAGGGGCATACACAACATGAAACACACACATACAGGGGCATACACAACATGAAACACACACATACAGGGGCATACACAACATGAAACACACACATACAGGGGCATACACTACATGGAAACACATACATACAGGGGCATACACAACATGAAACACACACACACAGGGGCATACACAACATGAAACACATACATACAGGGGCATACACAACATGAAACACATACATACAGGGGCATACACAACATGAAACACATACATACAGGGGAATACACAACATGAAACACATATATACAGGGGCATACACAACATGAAACACACACATTCAGGGGCATACACAACATGAAACACACACATACAGGGGCATACACTACATGGAAACACATACATACAGGGGCATACACAACATGAAACACACACATACAGGGGCATACACAACATGAAACACACACATACAGGGGCATACACAACATGAAACACATACATACAGGGGCATACACAACATGAAACAAATACATACAAGGGCATACACAACATGAAACACATACATACAGGGGCAGACACAACATGAAACACATACATACAGGGGCATACACAACATGAAACACACACATTCAGGGGCATACACAACATGAAACACACACATACAGGGGCATACACAACATGAAACACACACATTCAGGGGCATACACAACATGAAACACACAAATTCAGGGGCATACACAACATGAAACACACACATACAGGGGAATACACAACATGAAACACACACATACAGGGGCATACACAACATGAAACACACACATTCAGGGGCATACGCAACATGAAACACACACATACAGGGGCATACACAACATGAAACACACACATTCAGGGCCATACACAACATGAAATACACACATACAGGGGCATACACAACATGAAACACACACATACAGGGGCATACACAACATGAAACACATACATACAGGGGCATACACAACATGAAACACATACATACAGGGGGATACACAACATGAAACACAGTCATACAGGGGCATACGCAACATGAAACACACACATACCGGGGCATACACAACATGAAACACACACATACAGGGGCATACACAACATGAAACACAGACATACAGGGGCATACACAACATGAAACACACACATACCGGGGCATACACAACGTGAAACACACACATACCGGGGCATACACAACATGAAACACAGACATACAGGGGCATACACAACATGAAACACACACATACCGGGGCATACACAACATGAAACACAGACATACAGGGGCATACACAACATGAAACACACACATACCGGGGCATACACAACATGAAACACACACATACCGGGGCATACACAATATGAAACACAGACATACAGGGGCATACACAACATGAAACACACACATACCGGGGCATACACAACATGAAACACACACATACCGGGGAATACACAACATGAAACACAGACATACAGGGGCATACGCAACATGAAACACACACATACCGGGGCATACACAACATGAAACACACACATACCGGGGCATACACAACATGAAACACACACATACCGGGGCATACACAACATGAAACACAGACATACCGGGGCATACACAACGTGAAACACACACATACAGGGGCATACACAACATGAAACACACACATACCGGGGCATACACAACATGAAACACACACATACAGGGGCATACACAACGTGAAAAGTAAAAACACATACACACACTGGGAAGTACATAAAAGACAATTTTTTTAAATTCACGTGTTCATTCTTTATACTTTTTATGTTTTCATTTTTATTATTTAAATGTCCAATCTTTACACGTCCAGTGTTTACATGTTCTATATTTCAATATGCAGTGTTAGCACGTTCAATGTCTATTTTAAATGTAAATGTTCAATCTTTACACTTCCTATTTTTTTATGTTCTGTATTCAAATGTTGGATTTTTACACGTCAAATGTGTTCATGTTGTGTATTTAAATATGCAATGTTAACACCTTAATGTCTATTCACAATGTCAATGGTCAATCTTTAAACACAGCATATTTTCAAACTGAATATTTACGAGTTCAGTTTTACGCGTCCAATGTTTAAGTTCAAACAATAAATGTTCCCTCTGTTAACATTCAATGTTTTCCAGATTTACATGTTCAGTCTTTACACACCCATTGTTTTCCAGATTTACATGTTCAGTCTTTACACACCCATTGTTTTCCAGATTTACATGTTCAGTTTTTACACACCCATTGTTTTCCAGATTTACATGTTTAGTCTTTACACATCCAATGTTTTCCAGATTTACATGTTCAGTCTTTACACATTCAAAGTTTTCCAGATTTACATGTTCAGTCTTTACACATATGATACTTTCATATTCTTTCTTTCTGTTGTGAATAATTTGCTGATGCCGCTAGGCATGGCAGCTCATTAGACGATCGACAGCCGAGCCAGGGCGCACTTGGTCGCTTGATATGCGGGGATGTTGTGCAGTCTCAAGGTGTCAGTGACTCCTTCAATCCATTCCTTCTCGATATCCCTCTTGGTGTTTGGTGTTTTAGGTTGTACGATCTTGCTGCCGGCATCGTTGGTTTCATTCTCATTTGATGGAAAAAACATTTTATACTTTCTCAATAAATTTGACGATGGGTGTTGTTCCAACAGTTCTTGTGATCATGTCGTTTCTCACTCAATCTCTTCTGCTTTTAGTCACAGCTATTCTCAAACAGCTCATATCACAACTGGTTTGTTTGTTTGTGTGTGTGTGTGTGTGTGTGTGTGTGTGTGTGTGTGTGTGTGTGTGTGTGTCTGTGTGTGAGTGTGCGTGTGTGTGTGTGTTTAAATTTTTTTTAAAATTTTTATGTTCTTTTGTCAATGTCCAAGTTTATGTTCAAAATTCAAATTTTTACTTTTTACACGTTAATGTTTTTTGTTCAATGTTTACATGTTCAATATGCTCTGCACTTACAAATGTTCAGTATTTAAATGTTCTGTATTGAAATGTTCATTGTTGGAAGTGAACAACCGCTGCAATCGTCTTAAAGGACAGAACATTGAGGACAGACATGTGCAGGTGCTCCCCCACACATACCAATCACAAAGGACAGAACATCGAGGACAGACCGGTGCTCTCCCACACATACCAATCACAAAGGACAGAACATTGAGGACAGACCGGTGCTCTCCCACACATACCAGTCACAAAGGACAGAACATTGAGGACAGACATGTGCTGGTGTTTCCCCAACACATACCAATCACAAAGGATACAGAGGCTCCCATGTAGCCGGCTACAGTAGAGATGGCAGTAGCTGATGCCCTTTGATTGGGAGGAAACCAAAGTCCAGAGAGGAGGGCAGGCGCACTGTTGGGTATAGTCCCTGCCATTCCATTGAGAAACTGGCCAATTCTGATCAACCTGTGGGATGTCATCAAGATGTGAGAAACTGCATGAATAAATCAACAACGGATTAGTTGTATGAATCACGGTGACAGTTATAGCAGCTGAGTTTCAAATTGACCTTGCCTCCCCTTTTAAGCCAGTCAGCAACAGATACCAGATAACAGCTTGGTTTCAAATTGTCCATGGTTCCCCTGTTAAGGCCGTCAGCAACAGACACAGGTAGCAACCTTGTTTCAAATTGTCCATGGCTCCCCTGTTAAGGCCGTCAGCAACGGATACCAAATAGCAACTTAGTTTCAAATTGACCTTGGCTCCTTTGTTTGGCTAGTCAGCAATGGATACCTTATAGCAGGTCTATCTGTCTACGCCCCACATATCACTGACGATAAAAGGGTAATTGACCTTATTGTCTTGAACTTACGTGTCAGACAGACACATGTGCCAACAAGTGAACAACGGTTTTGTCAACTCTACGACAGCAAGATATGAATGTATGAGCCGACACCACTGCACTGGGATCCTCGCAACACGTGAAGTAGCCATCGAACAGTGCCATGTGATTCAAAGCCCACCTGTTGTTTAATATGTAACAGATTCTATCAAGTGAACATCATCATCATCGTCAGTCAGCAGGTGTTCGGTACAGAAAATCGCTCTCGCTACGGCACCCTAAAGTCTCTCTTGCTCGAGCCAATTGTCCAGTTCTATTTTCTTTCGTATCCGTTGTGTCTTCATTGTCTTCCATCTACCATCGCAGGGGTCTACCGCGTTTTCCGGTCAGTGGAACCGTCTGTCACTGTTTTCTCTGGGCGACGTGTGAGACAAGGACTTTTTACTTGGCATAATTAACTTAGCATTGGAGACAGGATGCTGTATGTGTCAGGTCAACAACGGCTCTGTCAACTTTACCACAGTCATCAGTTCCGGCAAGACAACTTGGGACAGCAGAACATCAAGAACTTTCCAGTATGGTTTCTCCCTCTCTCCCACCTATTCCCTGATAGATTTCACAGTATGGTTTCTCCCTCTCCCCCACCTATTCCCTGATAGATTTCACAGTATTGTTTCTCCCTCTCCCCCACCCATTCCCTGATAGATTTCCTAGTATCGTTTCTCCCTCTCCCCCACCTATTCCCTGATAGATTTCCCAATATTGTTTCTCCCTCTCCCCCACCTATTTCCTGATAGATTTCGCAGTATCGTTTCTCCCTCTCCCCCACCTATTCCCTGGTAGATTTCCCAGTATCGTTTCTCCCTCTCCCCCACCTATTTCCTGGTAGATTTCCCAGTATCGTTTCTCCCTCTCCCCCACCTATTCCCTGATAGATTTCCCAGTATGGTTTCTCCCTCTCCCCCACCTATTCCCTGATAGATTTCCCAGTATGGTTTCTCCCTCTCCCCCACCTATTCCCTGGTAGATTTCCCAGTATGGTTTCTCCCTCTCCCCCACCTATTCCCTGGTAGATTTCCCAGTATCGTTTCTCCCTCTCCCCCACCTAATCCCTGGTAGATTTCCCAGTATCGTTTCTGCCTTTAAGCAAGTATTGCCTGATAGATTGCCCGCTATCGTGCCTCCTTCTCCTTAACTATTCCCTCATAGATTGTCTAGTATCGCCTCTCCCTCTCCACAATTATTCCACAATGAATTGTCCAGTACCGTGTATCCCTCTCTTGCCAACAATTTTTAATAGCTTGCACAGTATCATATCTCCCTCCGTCCCCAACTATTCCCTAATAGACTGAAGATGTATGGTATCTCCTCTCCCCAACTGTTCCCTAATAAACTGCACAATATCGTGTCTCTTCCCCTCCTCAACTACTCCCTAATAGACTGCCTAATATCGTGTCTCTCCCTCCCCAACTATTCCCTAATAGATTGCCCAATATCGTGTCTCCCCCTCCCCAACTATTCCCTAATTGATTGCCCAGTACCGTATCTCCCCCTCTCTCCAACCGTTTCCGTGACAACAACGATATACAAACCAGGTGGCTGTAGTGACGTCACTGGGGACACAACGGAAGCCAGTGCCCAGAAACATGAACCCACAGGCGACGATCATAGCGGTCCTCATACCTGACGAGGGGAAACACCACAGGTGAGACAGGGGAGATACATGGGACAGGTGGGACAGGGGAGATACATGGGACAGGCGACGATCATAGCGGTCCTCATACCTGATCAGAGGAAACACCATAGGTGAGACAGGGGAGATACATGGGACATGTGGGACAGGGGAGATACATGGGACAGGCGACGATCATAGCGGTCCTCATACCTGACGAGAGGAAACACCACAGGTGAGACAGGGGAGATACATGGGACAGGTAGGACAGGGGAGATACATGGGACAAGCTACGATCATAGCGGACCTCATACCTGACGAGAGGAAACACGACAGGTGAGACAAGGGAGATACATGGGACAGGTGGTACAGGGGAGATACATGGGACAGGTGAGACAGGGGAGATACATGGGACAGGTGGGACTGGGGAGATACATGGGACAGGTGGGACAGGGAAGGTCATGGGACATGTGGGACAGGGGAGATACATGGAACAGGTGGGACAGGGGAGATACATGGGAAGGTGGGACAGGGGAGATACATGGGACAGGCGACGATCATAGCGGTCCTCATACCTGACGTGAGGAAACACGACAGATGAGACAGGGGATATAATTGGGACAGATGAGACAGGGGAGATACATGGGACAGGTGGGACACGGAAGATACATGGGACAGGCGACGATCATAGCGGTCCTCATACCTGACGAGAGGAAACACGATAAGTGTGACAGGGGAGATACATCGGACAGGTAGGACAGGGGAGATACATGGGACAGGTGGGACAAGTGAGGCAGGGGAGACACATGGGACAGGTGGGGCAGGGGAGATACATGGGACAGGTGGGACAAGTGAGGCAGGGGATACACATTGGACAGGTGAGGCAGGGGAGATACATGAGACAGGTGAGGCAGGGTAGACACAGGATACAGGTGAGATACAGGGAACAAACGAGGTAGGGGAGACACGTGAGACAGGTAAGACAGGGAGACACACATGAGACAGGTGAGGAAAGGGAGATACAGGAGATAGGTGAGGCAGAGGAAACAGATTAGGCAGGGGAGACACAGGGTGCAGGTGGGACGCAGGAGGCAGATCAGGTAGGGAAGACACATGAGACAGGTGAGCAGAGAGAGACATGAGACAGGGAGACACAGGAAACATGGAGACAGTAAGACATGGGAAAAAGGGAAACAGGTAAGACAGATTAAGCACGTAAGACTAAGGGAAGCAGGCGAGACAGGGGAGGCAGAGTGGATATGAGAGACAGGTAAGGCAAGTCAGACAGGGAAGGAAGGTGAGTCGAGGAAGTTATGGTAGGCTGGTGAAACAAGGGAGACATAGAAGACAGGTGAGGCAGGTAAGACAGGGAAGGAAGGTGAGTCAGGTAAGTTATGGTAGGCTGGTGAAACAGGGGAGACATAGACAGGTGAGGCAGGTGAGAGAGGGAAGGAAAGTGAGTCAGGTAAGTTATGGTAAGCTGGTGAAACAGGGAAGACATAGAAGACAGGTGACGCAGATGAGAGAAGGAAGCCAGAGAGACAGAGAGATGACAGAGAGACGCAGAATTAGGTTGCCGAAATTTAGTACCTGAAGGACAGGTGTAGCGCTGACCGCTCACATTCAATACCTACAAGACAGGTGTAGCACTTACCACTCACATTCAATACCTACAAGACAAATGTAGCACTGACCGCTCACATTCAATACCTACAAGACAAATGTAGCACTGACCACTCACATTCAATACCTACAAGACAGGTGTAGCACTGACCGCTCACATTCAATACCTATAAGACAGGTGTAGCACTGACCGCTCACATTCAATACCTACAAGACAGGTGTAGCACTGACCGCTCACATTCAATACCTATAAGACAGGTGTAGCACTGACCGCTCACATTCAATACCTACAAGACAGGTGTAGCACTGACCGCTCACATTCAATACTTATAAGACAGGTGTAGAGCTGACCGCTCACATTCAATACCTATAAGACAGGTGTAGCACTGACCGCTCACATTCAATACCTACAAGACAGGTGTAGCACTGACCGCTCACATTCAATACCTACAAGACAGGTGTAGCACTGACCGCTCACATTCAATACCTACAAGACAGGTGTAGCACTGACCGCTCACATTCAATACCTACAAGACAGGTGTAGCACTGACCGCTCACATTCAATACCTACAAGACAGGTGTAGCACTGACCGCTCACATTCAATACCTATAAGACAGCTGTAGCACTGACCGCTCACATTCAATACCTACAAGACAGGTGTAGCACTGACCGCTCACATTCAATACCTATAAGACAGGTGTAGCACTGACCGCTCACATTCAATACCTACAAGACAGGTGTAGCACTGACCGCTCACATTCAATACTTATAAGACAGGTGTAGAGCTGACCGCTCACATTCAATACCTATAAGACAGGTGTAGAGCTGACCGCTCACATTCAATACCTATAAGACAGGTGTAGCACTGACCACTCACATTCAATACCTATAAGACAGGTGTAGCACCGACCACTCACATTCAATACCTACAAGACAGGTGTAGCACTGACCGCTCACATTCCATACCTACAAGACAGGTGTAGCACTGACCGTTCACATTCCATACCTACAAGACAGGTGTAGCACTGACCGCTCACATTCCATACCTACAAGACAGGTGTAGCACTGACCTTTGACATCCATGAGGTAGGAGCAAGGAAACATGGTCAGAAGGAAAGGGATGTTGCCCAGCCAGATAAACATGGCGATGTCGCTGTCCGACCAGTGGTAGACGTCCTTGGCCGACTGCGCTATAGGTCCCCAGGTCGACCACACTGCATTCCACAACATGGCGGACAAGGAGAACAACAACAACAGGTACCACCTCTTCTTGTAGACAGCTGTTCTTGTCTCCACTTTGGCATCCGCGTTTGCATCCACTCGTTCTATAACCGTGTCTATTTCCAGTTGTAGATTGTTACGGTTTTTCTTATCAGCGCTTCCGTTCTTTGTCTCAAAGCTGCTGCTTTCAGCATTGATGATCTTGTCTTTCTGTGAGAGTGAAGGCTGCAGCCCAAAGTCCATGGAGTCATCTAAAGGCATGGGCGCTGGTGTGCCTTTCCTTTCTAACAAGGCGCTGATCCACTGGAGTGTTTTCTTCCAAGGCTCTCCAGACGGGATGATAGGGACGCTTGAGCTCACGAAGCTGTCACCTTGAAGACTAGCACTGCTCGACGTCCGGAAAATTGTTGGTCTGCCATTGTTTCTGTTAGACCCTACGGAGTCCTTAGCGGCAGGTTTCAGATTCGAATCTGCAGGCAAACTGAAATACTTGGAATTTGTGTGGCTGTTAACAAACTGGTCTCGGCGCTGGTGGGCGGTTTTGGGTGTGTCCAGAAAGTCAGCGGGTAAGTCACAGATTTCTGTAGAAACACGCAGGGGGATGTCCACTGAGTGAGGCCTGAGCAGCATCAGTCTCTTGTGCTGCAGCAATGAACTGTCCTTCTCGGTCATCTGACTGTGTTGGGAGAGATTTGATCGTCGAGTGTGGGTGTAGCTGGCAGGAGAAGCCACATCGCGCCTGAAGTTATGTCCACTGATAGGATCTTCTTGGATAGCTATGGGGGTACTAGCACGTTTGGGGCTTTGTTTCAGTGATGATGTGTCTACAAGCGGCTGGTGATGGGCTAAGATAACAATTTCGGCTTCACTGTTTTCTTGTCTTGAGCACATCCTTGTTTGTTCGCTGTTACCCGAGTCTTTGTCACTGTCAGATAGTTGTCTGTTCACAAAATTGTTGACTGAATGTTGGTCAGATAAACCCGAATGATTCTGAACAGCTATTTCGGCTGAATGATGACTGAAATCTATAAACAAACCAGACATGTCTGCATTGTCGTCTTCATCTTCAAAATTGACCCAGTTACGTGTGTGTGTTTTCTCCTTGACCATCGTTGCGTGTGTGGCTGACACATTGCCTGTGTGACTCCGCGTGTCGACGATAGATCTGAAAGTCTGCTGATGTTCTGCAATAGGAGAAGTCTCGTCTCGACTATCGACTTTACCAGAGTAGGAAGTGGCTAAAGGATGTCTTTCTGTGCTGTTTGAACGGTTGTTCTCATGACCGCTGATATCTTGACTGAAGAGATGGTTCATGTGGCTGGTTGCGTCTACCAGCTGTTGAAGATCGCTGACACAAACGGAGACTTTACTAACGCCCTTATGTGTTGGGTAGCTGCTAGAATATAAACCAGCTTGTCTACCGTGCAACTTCTTCGATCTAGGCAGCTTTGGGTCGTCCTCGTCTGAATAAATCTCGTTACCTTCATCGCTGTCAGCCTCATCGGGCAAGTTTGAGTGGATGGGAAACTCCAGACCTTTTTGCTTGACCGGTGAATTGTCTGTGCTGGCACGCTGTGTCGTGGTGGTGAGAGAACTGTGAGAGAGACCGGGAGCCACATCTGTGTGTTGACTGTCTGCCCTATTCGATAGGTGGTCCACTGTGAAGGGAGAGTCCTGCTCCGTCATCTTTACGGCTTAAAAGAAGCCGAACGATGATGATAATGATGTTGATTGCAAGCTTCGGTTACAGAAGCACTGGATCAAGCGGGTATGTTACTGGAAGATTCACATTTAGAGAGTTGTATTTCTAAACAGACACAGCAAATATTTGTCCAAATAAAGGTCGATACTTTGGTGAAAAACTATTTAGAACTTGCATGAAATTTCTGGATTTGCGAGCATGAACCAGAATAGTATATACATCATTCCACAACTTGAGAATGTGCACACATACAGCCAAAAGAAGAAGATTTTGGCACGACGACAAGAACCTGTGTTGGCTCTGTTTGCCACGATAGCGTCAGTGTGATCACTGGACACCTTTCATATTGGAATTTGTCGTTGAAGATCTAAGATCAGGGACAGATGGATGTTCTACCGATGTGTCTGGGTCTAAGATAAAACATAAGGTTATGTTTCAATGATATATCTGGGTCTAAAATCAGGGAGAAGATGTTCTACTGATGTGTAGGTGTCTAAGAGCAAGGACAAGTAGATGTTCTACTGATGTGTCTGGGTCTAAGCAATCAGTGACCAGAAGATGTTCTACCAATGTGAATGTGTCTATGATCAAGGACAAGTGGGTGCTCTACCAATGTGTGTGAGATCAGGGACAGATGGATGTTCTACCGATATGCCAGGATCTGAGATCCTACAGTGGGCAGGTGTCAAACATTTCCTGAGGTAGAGAATACGTCAGCAATAGTTTGATGTTAGCCCGGCATCCTTCATCAAAAATTGTCGATGTTTTAGCCACCCGTCTCTGGTCTTCCCTTCAAGTTGTGCAGATATTGGTGCCCGACTGTCGATGGCTTAGCCACCCGTCTCTAGACTTCGCCTCGGATGTTTGCAGGTTATACTGATCTTTCTGCCAAGACAAGAGAAGCAAGTTAAAAAATCTAGACACTTCATGGCTTCTCACATTAGATGTTCCACAGAGGAAAACTTTCCTTCAATGAAACTACAGAATTGTCACACTTCTGATATACCACGCTTTGAAAGTATCACACTAGCTACCACAACAGCACACTACTACATTACCTAGTACTGACTACCTTAAATGGATGTGTGGTAAGAGGAAACAAATAGTGGCTGGGGTTTTACTGCAGATGTGAATGAACGCTAGCAACTTTAGCCTCAAAGCCGAAAGTTAAAACAGCCATGATGAAATGGCTGTAGTAACAGCAGTTTTCTGATGGTTTGAGAGCAGACAGTCCATCATATTTTAGTTGTGACGGACTCATACAGTGTGCTTCGGTAAACAGAAACTGACGTCTTACGCGTGGAGTGGCTGACATCGTTTGATAAGACTCGGGTCAGGAGCAGATCAGGGCCTTTCTGGAAAATGTCCTCTTGGCGGTGAGCTATTTTACAACACTGCGACGGGGTTACAGCTCTCTGAGATCAGGGGACAGTGCCACGGAACATAAAGCTCTATGAGATTAGGGGGACGGTGCCACGGAACATAAAGCTCTATGAGATCAGGGGACAGTGCCACGGAACATAAAGCTCTATGAGATCAGGGGACAGTGCCACGGAACATAAAGCTCTCTGAGATCAGGGGGACAGTGCCACGGAACATAAAGCTCTATGAGATTAGGGGGACAGTGCCACGGAACATAAAGCTCTATGAGATCAGGGGACAGTGCCACGGAACATAAAGCTCTCTGAGATCAGGAAGACAGTGCCACGGAACATAAAGCTCTCTGAGATCAGGAAGACAGTGCCACAGAACATAAAGCTCTCTGAGATCAGGAAGACAGTGCCACGGAACATAAAGCTCTATGAGATTAGGGGGACAGTGCCACGGAACATAATGCTCTCTGAGATCAGGGGTATTTGCCAGGGAACATAAAGCTCTATGAGATCAGGGGGACAGCGACACGGAACATGAAGCTCTTTGGGATCATGGGAACAGTGCCACGGAACAGAGTACATCGACAGATTAATTTAGGGGAGATTGTAGAAGATATTCCACACTGAAAATGGGAGGGGAGAAAGTGGGGGGAGTGGGGGGTTGGAAAAGAGAATCTTTTTAATCAGGTTGTACCTGCTAATATTAGCATGTCGACTTCTTGCTGGCTACTAAGGAAGGAGGCGGATCACGTGTGGGAATGTCCTGAGCGCAGGAATCTCAGTTCATGTTTATTAATTAATTAATTCAATCACAGTACATACAATCACGCTCAGTTAAAAATATCAACAAAATAATCACCGTGGTAAGGCTAACGCTTTCTCTCCTCTCTCTCTCTCTCTCTGTCTCTCTCTCTCTCTCTCTCTCTCTCTCTCTCTCTCTCTCTCTCTCTCTCTCTCTTGTCTGTCTCTCTCATTCTTTCTCTCTCTCTCTCTTTCTCTCTGTCTCTTTCTCTTTCTCTCTTTCTCTCTCTCTCTCTCTTTTTCTGTTTTTTTTCTCTCTCTCTCTTTTTCTGTTTTTTTTCTCTCTCTCTTTCTCTTTTCCTCTCTCTCTCTCTCTTTCTCTCTCTCTCTCTCTCTCTCTCTCTCTCTCTCTCTCTCTCTCTCTCTAAGACACACATAACATTACTCAAAAGATTGCTTGACCAAAAGCGAATTAGGAGACATGTGAGACATGAGACATGAAACATAAGACATGAGACATAAGACATAAGACATGAGACATAAGACATAAGACATGAGACATAAGACATGAGACACGAGACATAAGACATGAGACATGAGACACGAGGCATAAGACACGAGACATGAGACACGAGACATGAGACACGACACACGAGACATGAGACACGAGACATGAGACTTGAGACATAAGACATAAGACATGAGACATGAGACACCAGACATGAGACATGAGACATACCCAGAAGATCACATATCCCAGGAGAAGGCGCCGAGTGTCAGCACAGTCGCCGAGAGAAATTTCTCTTAGAGTGCTCGATGAGATGATCGACTGACAGATAGATCTGACACAGATATCAGACTTTGGCACACAAATCAATTGTTGCTTTTGCTAATGGCTAATCAAAGCTTGCTTACCAGGGCAGATGTAGGCCATCTTTGGCTGTATCTGTTGTATGGCCGTCCCATCGTTATTTATGGGCGTCATAAATGTCTGGTGAATGGCCGCCCCATTATTATTTATGAGTGTCAGTAGAGTCTAGTGTTTTGCCGCCCCATTGTCATGTATGGGTTTCAATAGTGTCTAGTGTTTTGCCGCCCCGTTGTCATTTATGGGTGTCAGTAGTGTCTAGTGTATGGCCGCCCCTTTGTCATTTATGTGCGTCAGTAGTGTCTGGTGTATGGCCGTCCCATCTTTTTTTATGGGTGTCAGTAGTGTCTGGTGTATGGCCGTCCCATCTTTATTTATGGGTGTCAGTAGTGTCTTGTGTATGGCCGTCCCATCTTTATTTATGGGTGTCAGTAGTGTCTTGTGTATGGCCGTCCCATCTTTATTTATGGGTGTCAGTAGTGTCTTGTGTATGGCCGTCCCATCTTTATTTATGGGTGTCAGTAGTGTCTGGTGTATTGCCACCCCCCCCCCCATTGTCATTAATGAGTGTCAGTAGTGTCTGGTGTATGGCCGCCCCATCTTTATTTATGGGTGTCAGTAGTGTCTTGTGTATGGCCGCCCCATCTTTATTTATGGGAGTCAGTAGTGTCTTGTGTATGGCCGCCCCATCTTTATTTATGGGAGTCAGTAGTGTCTTGTGTATGGCCGCCCCATCTTTATTTATGGGAGTCAGTAGTGTATTGTCTATGTGTATGGCCCCCCCCATCTTTATTTGGTCATTAGCGTCAGTAGTGTCTTGTGTATTGCCAACCCCCCCCCCCCCCCCCCCATTGTCATTAATGAGTGTCAGTAGTGTCTGGTGTATTGCCACCCCCCCCCCATTGTCATTAATGAGTGTCAGTAGTGTCTGGTGTATTGCCACCCCCCCCCCCCCATTGTCATTAATGAGTGTCAGTAGTGTCTGGTG